TGTATATGTATATGCTGTGGGAAACGACGGCTGGATCTCGGTAGAGATACAAATTTTATAAGCAACAGCTAAAAAGTGAATATAAGTAAACAGCCAGGAATAGAGCCAGAGCTTTTGGGCAACACTAGTCCTTCCTCAGTGGATCGTGTGAGGGTAGAAAAGCCAGATAGTATAAAGTGAGAATTTCATGCAAGCATGATTAGAAACAATAGGCAAGGTGAGATGAGAATAAACAAAATTGCAGGCAGTATACATCTTACTATTAGGTAATTTTGTCGACATTTTTTATTTATCGGCCATCTTGGATATGAAGTGAACTTTTGGGTTGCCTTAAAGTTAACTTCAAATGTACATGTTTCAGCAAAAATCCACTTAAAATCGTTAACAGGGAAAAAAAATAGGCAGAATTTACCGAATTAAATTAATTCTAGCAGCCATTTTGGATTTTGGCGGCCATCTTTGGTTTAAGACCAAATTCTGGGTGGCCCTCGATTGACCGTGAAGGGTTTATATCTCAGATGACAAATCCCCTAAAAAACATCGACATTTGGAACCAATAAATAATCTGCAAATCTGAAATTATTGTATTTTTTGCGGCCATTTTTAATTTTGTTAGCCATTTTGGATTGAGGCTAATTTCTGGGTGGCCCTCGACTGATCTTCAATGGTTTATGTACGGTACCAGGTGACAAATCAACTGAAAAAAACATTGACATAACCGAATAATATGCTACATTTCTCTAATAATTGTGATTTTCGGTGGTCATTTTGGATTTTGGCGACCATCTTGGATTTGAATTCTTGGTGCCCCTTGATTGATCTTGAAAGGCTTAGGTCTGAGGTGACAATTCCACTTAAAAAAAAGTTGACAACACCGAATAAATATGCTGTATATCTCTAATAATTTTAATTTTGGCGGCCATTTTGGATTTTGGAGGCCATCTTGGATTTGAGGTAAAAATCTGGGTGGCCCCAAGTTTATTTCAAATAGTTTGGGGAAAACCTCGACCGGAAAAATAGCAGTTTATCCTTGGATGGGCCCTGTCTAGATGCGCAACTTGGTGCTTTAGCTGCTCTACTATAGCAGTTAATTAGGGTCTTCGAATATTGTAAGGATTTAAGTGCTAAGGACAATTTTTACATTTGCGGTTGACATGTTATGACATTTGAGGTAAAAATGGAAATTTTTGCTTTTGTAGGTGAAATGTTACTACATTTGTGGTTAAACAGATTTTTACATTTGTGGGAGATCTTTTTTTTACATTTGTGGTTATTTTTACATTTGCAGTTGACATGTTATGACATTTGCGGTTATTTTGACATTTGCGGGTAGAATGTTTTGACATTTGTGGTTATTTTTACATTTGTGGTAGATTTTACATTTGTGGGCTCTACACCCCCCACCCCACACCCCCTACCCTCACTTTTAACTACGGATCGACGCCCTTGACGTCAAGTCCCACAAACACACATGTCTAGGCATATTTACGTTTACTCTATCAGGTTATGTTACGTTACCTAATCAACAATATCCAATTTGCGGATTTTAACGGAAGGTTCATTGGTGAGTAGGCCTACATGGGCAGCTGCCAATGTGACCATTGTCATCATTTTAACACAGAAATAAACCTGAAAGTTTTAGAAAGTGAACGTCATTAAAAGACTTCAGAATGCGGGAAAATGCATTTCCAGCCCCCCTCCCCCACCTCATAGAAACAAAAAACATTTTATGGGAGGGTACCCAGACCCCGTCTACACTACCTAGCCACCCACCCACCCACTCACCTACCATTGTTAAATCCTATATCCGCCCCTGACCTAAGTATTTTTTTCAAAGTCAAAAGTAAGTAGGCCTGTATTAGCTCAACATAAACAGTATATATTAGCTTACCTTAAATGTAGATGTGTTTGATTGCTATCTTTTAGTGGACTGTGACGACGTCGATTGTGGTCCCGATAAGAAGTGCCGAATGAGGAAACACCGTCCCGTCTGTTTCTGCAACTTGAATTGCAGTAAGTACGACGCAGAACACGATGGCGCCGTATGTGGCACCAACGATAAAACCTACGATCGCCCCTGTAAACTCTACCGCAGCAGATGCCGTTTAGGAGAATCTTTTGAAATTGCATACTACGGTGTATGCACAAGTAAGTATCCTTGTCTTCCTTTTTGACCAATGACAGAGCAGATATAGCTTGCTGCAGTATCGGTTAATGAACCGAATGTGGTGTAGTCCAGTAGCAGAAGGGAGAATCATCACCCGACAAAGGACAAATTTTTATCCAACTTTTCCAATTTTTTTGTGTAGATTTCGAAAATGGAGGGTGATGGGGCTTTTTTTGATATATGAGGGGGTCAAAGTTTAAAATTGAACAATTAGATCTATATCAATTTACTAGAATAACCAATTATAAAACCTAAAACATAATCACTTTGGTATGCTTTCAGATATCCAATTGTCATTAAATAAGTAAATCAAATTATTTTTTCACACAATGTTTGGGGTCAAAGGTCAAAATTCACCAATTAGTTGGCCAAAATAATTTACAATAATAACCAATCAGGAAAGCAACAATCATTGTTTAAATAATTTGTGATTTATGTACACAATCATCATTAAAAAAACCTCAAATCAAACAATTAGGTCTGCCGACAATAAGGTCAAAGTTCAAAATTAGCCAAAAGAATGAACTTACTATAATAATAATCAATGATGAAGTCTAAAATGTCGTGTTTTTGTTTTCTTAAGTTTTTAGATATATAAATCCTCAAACAATAAGCAGATCTAATCATTTAATCCGTCAATATTAGGGTCAACTGTTAAATTGACCAATTATAATAATATGCACTTGATGAAGCTAGCATGTTGAATTATTTGCTGCCCTCAAACTACTAGTCCAGTAGCAGAAGCGAGGAATCACCACCCGGCGAGGGACAAATTTTCATCCAACTTTTCTAGACCCGAATTTTACGCAGATTACAAATCTGAAGGGTGATCAGCCGGGGCGTTTTCGAGATATCAACTGTCAAAGGTCAAATTGACCAATCATAAAACTTACTAAACCTAAAATCTGTTGTTTTAACACTTTTTTTAGTTCCTATGCATGTAATGCAAAAGGAACTATTGTAATCACTCTATCACTGTTTTCCCTTTGTTTTTTATTGTGTGTAGTATGTGTGTGCGTATGTGTGTAGACATTTATGCAAATGCGCATGCGTCAAAGAAAAGTTTTCCGACATTTTGTTTTACCTCACGATGCGAAGATCGATGTGATGTTTCTGCAGAGTTCAGTCAGGGCTCACGCTAACCGATCGGCAAGTCGGCATGGATGAAACTATTTTGATTTTACGGCAAAAAAAATCAACTGCTGTGGCATAGGTATTTTGAAGAAGGCCTAAAATAAAACAAAAAGTTTTTAATATTTGCTGAAATACATGGTTTTTTTCATTTAGATCTCACTAACTCCATGTGACGTTTTTTTTCTGTTGTATGAGTAGTCATATGAAGGTACTATATCCCCGACAGTTGGCTATGCAGCAATGTACCCTTTGAATGCAAATTGAAGATACAGAGGCAGCCGACTGTCGGGTACATAACTCTTCATTGCTCCGCCATCTTGTCAGCACTCTAGTTCACAAAAACATTAGGCCTAGTTCAGTACAGTAGTTACTGCGATACGAGGGTGGTAGATCGTTCAGTCAGTGATATCGTGTTATCGTCTAATACATTTGTGTGTAAAATTTAAGAATGCACCGCGTGGGTCGCTTTCTCTTTGTTATGCGGTAGTACACGTAGCAGAGTGAGCAATCTAAACCTAGCCTAGGGCCTAGATAGTATACGTTCTTGATCATCGTAATGAAAACTTCGGGTGACAGACGATTGGGCCCAACTGGTGTGCACAATCGGACCCAAGATAGCTTCAAATAAATTGTAGTCCTAGTAGGCCACTGCCGCAAACCCCACTCCTGATATCGTTCCAAACTATTGTAAAATGAAATTACTGTATACCTAGCTAGGCCTAGGCCCTATGCCTACGAAATTTTTTCCAAGAAATTTGCTAAAAATATTACTGTAATTTGCCTGTCGAATTACATTACCAGTGTGGTCTAAAATCACTATTTTGGGCCATAAAGACTCCCCCTGTATTTTTCAACGTCCACACAAATTTGACCCAACATAT